GGTAATTAGTATATTAGTTAATATTATTAAGTCCCCTATATATCTATTATTAGTTTAGCTGCACCTAGTACTAATATTATATTATTGCCTTGTAGTCGATATATATATAACGTGACTAGATGTATAGAATAGCTGGAAGATTTGCGGTATTAGTCGAAATCCCGTTTGTTATATAAGATTATATACTCAAGAGGGTAACTAAGCAGTAAAGCAGGTCCTGGGAAATATCAAGAGACGAGATTGACATGAGCGTACGTTTGCTCTGGTTTGTGAAAGGCCTCTAGTAAGTTGATTTAACTAACTAGTCCCTATACTATTTACTATTAAGATAGGAAAAAAAAGAAAGTCTATATATTTTATAGCATAATAATAACACCTTATATCTTCCTAATACGCCTCCACAAAAGGTTCTAGAGTCAACCCGCTAGGGGAGTTAATAATAGACGGTATAGCCGCCGTTCAAGTAATTTTTAGAGTTGACTGTTAGGTTTCTAGTAGGACAAACCTGCCAGAAGATAATGTCCCGTAAAATATATCCAGATACGCAGTTGCCAAGACCGCCCGCAGGCTGGTGTTCTAATGTCCGGTTCCCTTGGACGGTGTGTGGCAGGGAAGCTATTAGCCGGAACCGGCGGTCGTCTCAACTCTGATAGGAAATATCCTTTAGCGGTAAACCACAAAGCAATAATTAATTATAAAAAACTGCCTTATATTTAGTAAAGTACTCGCGGCTATTAATATAAATTTACCGCGATAAAGTAACAATAATATTTTAGTATTAGATTTCCTAGTTATTAATATTATAAGTAATTATATTATTGGCTAAAAACTAAGCTAAATAGCTGTTATTAGTATTTAACTAAAATATAAAAAAGCTTAAAAAAAAGCTTATAATAGCTAATAAATAGCGTTTTTACACGCAAGTACTAAATAAATTTAATAAAAGTAAAGTAGTATTTCCTGGACGTAAAAATTATCCTCTTCTTATAGAGCGCAGTATCGCATAAAAGCTCGGGCCTTGGTCCTCCTACATGGCGCTGGGCCGTGAAGTCGCAGACTTGTTTACGCTGAACAGGCTGCAACGCCCTGCCCATCTGATGGTAATGAAGGCACTTGACGCACACCACGGATAGGAAGATGGAAACGATGGGGATCAATATTTGGAGTACGTTAGTGGAGAGGGCGGCACGGGAAAGTCCCGCGTAATAGACGCAGTAAGGAGAGTACTAGAAGAGAAGAACAAACCGGGTGTAATCATGGTCACAGCCACGTCAGGATCTGCAGCGGCCGAGATCAGCGGCACTACTATACACTCCACTCTGGGAATTGTGCCGACCGGGACCGACGGCAATGCGGTGGAAAAAGGTGACTCACTCGAGGCGCATATCAAGACGCGCAAAAAGCGTGGCGATGGCAGAGAGTGAAGTCACTTGTAGTGGACGAGGTAACATTGAAGCATCAAATGCTCGGTGGAGCTCTCCTCCATCGGCTGGACGAGAGGCTGAGGTAACTTCAATGCCGTTCGGTGGCCTTTTCGTTGTCCTCTTTGGCGGAGATTTCTTCCAGTTTGGACCTGTCACACACACGATTGTATGGGACAGCCTAGACAGAATGAAAGACTCTTGATTTTCTATCTAAAAGAGCGGAATTATATAAAATTAAATACTTCTAGAATACTGCTACTTAGGTAGTAGTAAGTAATGCTTGCGTGTTCTTGACAGAGGCAGCATTGTGCTTGAATGAGCGATCTGATCTTGACATTACTTCATGCTCTGGTTAGGAATGTAGTCGGTAATTGTTAGGCCCTGGATGCTTGGTTTCCGATACTCATAAAATCTCCTTGTACCGTCAATATCACTGTCTTGCACTTCCTGTGGAAATTCATAGCTCATGACTGACTTGGGGTTTCTCAGCCCAAAGATTACCGCCCCGTGTTCACGATCTAACGCAAACTCGTGGCGCAGGCCCAGAATATGTCCGAGCTCGTGAAGAAAAGTGTTTTTTAGCGTCTTGCGATGCTTTACCAGCCCCTTCTTGTACACAAAGAGGGTATTTTGAGGACGCGAAGTTGGGAAGAATGACTTGGCCATGGTAGATTCTTTAGGGCCGACGTCAACGTACTTCAGAATAAATGTCGCCTGCTTGCGCTTGCCTACCCACTGGAATCTAACGCCCAAGTCATAGCTATTCCATTGCTCTGCCGCCTGCCAAAGATGGCAGGCCGCAAACTCTGCGTCCCCTTGCTGAGGATATCCATTGGCCTCTGCGGCGAAGTTGATGGTGGACCCGTATTCCCAGCGTGGAATCTCACCCCCATGTCCAATCAAGATACGCAGAGACGGATGTGCCTCCGTCATGCAGTGGTAGTGATGCTCGGGCCCCGGATGACAAGCCTCGTGCTGCTTCAGGATCTTTTCGGGATCGAGAACTTCGCCCTCGTCTTCTCCGAACGTCTCCTGGACGAATTCCTCCGCAGTGCTTCGCTGGACCTGATTAGATTGGGTCGGGTCGACCACTGGTAGTCGATCGGTACTCATCGCGGCGGGTCGGAATTGTTTCTGTAGCACTTGTTTATAATAGTAATGCTTGCCTTGATAAAGATAACTAGGCTTAGAAATGGTTTTATATTACTTTATTAGCGTATCAGGGTTTAGAAAGATAGATTTTAATAAAAATATTAAGAATATAATATAAATTACTTTACTAACTATATAGAAATATAAGAACCAACGAATATATAAATACTTTTTTAAATATTATTACTTTATTTTTTTA